TAGGAATCATTCTTGCTAATAGCGATCTGCGAGTTTAGTGCAAAAACGCATGATCGCACCGGGGAGGCTGGTGCGTCCCAGCCTGGGTTTTTTAATAAATAGGCCATTTTTTAACGAACATGACCCACCTGCCTTGATGCAAAATTTACGGTAATAAGGGTACAAACCAAATATAAAGTAAAAACCGCTCATGCGTTTAAAGACCTAGTTTTTCCAAGTTTAGTGGTAAAATGCATGCTCGCACAAGCAAGCTTGCGTGCCACTCTCTGGGATGTACAGAAGCGACTTCTCCACCATCTTGTAGTGGTATACAGGATTCTCCAGTGCAGTTCAGTTTCCAGTTCATTGTTTTATTTTTTACGCTCTGGAAACTTTTCTGTTTTCCCCTGTCTCCTCAGCTATCGGCTTTAAGCCTTTGAATCTTTTCCCTGTTTCTCTTATTATCTTCAGAGTTGCCAAATTCCTGAGACTTCTTATCCCGAAATCCAATACTTCACGAAAAATGAAACATAAAAGTTTTTCGTGCGCGAATAAATGCAGTTGTCTCAAAATCTGGACTTTTATTGCAGTACTTGGTGGTTACAAATAACTCATTCAAAATTAATATCAACACTCGATATTACATCTTTATATCTAATACAACTTTAAAATTAATCAACTTTCCAAGCCTGCTAAAACAATGTTCTAGAATTTTTAAACGAACTAAAGGCACTTACACTGGAGAACACAGTTGTGAAAAAGCAATTTGCGCATTTTTTCCAGGCCACTATAATATCCCATCTCCCCCACTAGATTGCGCAGAGTGCCTGAGATAAATTTTGACACGGAAAAGCTGATTTTCAAAATTTTTCCACCTTGCAGGCCAGTGAAGAATAGGAAAGATATGTCTCAGTTACAGATTCTTCTCCTCAAACTCGGAAATCTTCGTTGGCGCTTTGCGTACAGAAAAGATGGATGTGCTCGTCTCTTTCTTTAAATAAGCACATGCCGAAGACTCTCGCTCTAAATCAATATACCCCTTCTTTGTCTCCTAAGGCCACTGCTGCAGTAATCTTTACAAGCCAGATTAATACACTTAGAGTGCATGACATTTGGTGCCTCACAGCACTGATAATGAAGAATATTTGGACAAGATAAGCGCTCCAATTTCTTATTTCCCGAAATAGATTGCAAATTAGAGAGGATATGCGACTAACATGATCAGCAAGCGTTTTTTTTTTTGTAAAAAATCGTCAAGTCTATCCAGATCGTCCAAAGGAACGGATGGTAACGGTAAGCATTACTAGGATGAATTTGCAATCGCCGAGCACAGCTATTCCAAGCTATGCTCTGAATCAAACAACACAACGTTTTCTTACAAAATAAATTTCACGAACTGAAAAATAAACAAAATGCTCGAGGAAAAATATCAGTTTGTTGCTCGCTTACAATCAACACAGGCATTTATGTCAA